GCAGGGGGAGGAGATGGGAAATACACTGATTCATTCCCTGGAGCCTCCTCCCACATGGCCGTCCCCCTCTTCCCGCGCTCACCAGGGACGCTGGTACCACCCTCTGCTTTGCCCCAAAGCAATTGCTATTCTAGTAAGGGCATTTTTAAAAGCCTACGTGGCAATCTGGCATGAAAGTGTGGCTCCATCCCTCTCCCAGGTGAAGGGAATAGCATTGAGGCACTGTGGGGGGACGCTGGTACATGCACCTGTGTTGTGCATAGGGATTTTTTTTACAGGTGTGGGATGGGGTGGCCACACTCAGCCTCGATGGACGGGCTGGCAGCGCCAGCTTTTGTGGGCTGGGTTGCTGGCTCTGCCACAGCACATGTCCCTTCAGTGAGCGCCTGTTCCAGAGAAGAGGTTTGATCATCGTTTCAGAGCCTGAGGCGTCATGTATCCTGCTGCTGGCAACATCTGGTTGCCTTAGCTACGTGAGTCACGGCAACACAGCACAGCAGCCACGCAGGCGCGGCCAGGAGAAGCCACGGTCTGAGGTCAAGGCTGAGGATGGGTAGAGAAGAAAAATGTGAAAAAAAGGAGTTTTAACAATTTACCTCCTCTACAGCTCTCCCCATGTGCCCATCAGCGAGACCTGCTAGCTTTCCTGCGGGGTTGGCATCGGTGTGCCAAGGTGTCTGGCTGGCCCCAACATCGCATCTTCCTCCCAAGAGACACAGGAGCTCACGCTGCAGCCATGAGCCGCTGCAGGGTAACGGCATTTTTCTCCTTTTTCTCTCTGTAATCCTGGAGACAGGCATCCCCTCTCCAAGGGGTCTGTCCCCAGACAAGGACCCCTAATTTCGCTGGTGTTAGACTGGCATCTCGGCAGCAGGAGAAAGTGGAGACTCGAGGCCATATAACTTTTATTATACCGCTTTAAACATGACATCTATACGGAAAAAAGCTGGTTTACAGGATTGATGTTATAATCCTGCCAGAGGAAGTCAATTAGTAACAGAGAAACACATGCTCTTGCATTGTAAATTGTTGCCCTCCAAGTTTATATTAGGGCATAGCTGTATCTGCAGGCGCATATAGCTCGAGCTCAGTATAGTGACCACCAGGTCTCCTGGGATACTTGTACTCAAAAAAACCCTGAATAGCCATAAGCAAAGGATGTGGGCTGCTACTGTGGAAAGGTTGTGAGGAGCAACATTATTTTGATGCTTTTCACATTTTTTTTTCCATTTTTTCACATTGTCATACTTCTTAAAATGTATCATTTTTAATTAGACTATTCCAGAATCTCTCTGGGAAGTTTTTGGTTATAGTTCCTTATTATTCTCCTCCTTCAGAAATGTCCTGGGACTAACTGGTGCCATTGGGTCCGCCCAAAACCCACTGGTCAGCTGGGGGTGCCAGTCCCTCTGCAGGCAGGACCTGCTGGAGGGATGTGGAGCCCATCAGGAGCAGCTGCCCAAGATGGAGACACCCTATGAGGGGGCTCAGTCTCACCTGGGGAGTGTTCAGGCCTTTCCATGAGCACGGAGGGACTTGAGGTACTTCAATCCCAAATAGCCAGGTTCAGGTGAAGAAGCTTTTGTAGGGGTAGCTCATTTAGAAAGGTCTCAGCCAGGGACCCGAAAGCTACCAAAGTTGTTTGTTCAATGATTACA